TGAGATTTTATATGAGGCAGGACAGTAATTTTGTTATTTACCTGATGTTCATCATTTGCTTTTGTGTTCAATATGCTGATTGATTGTAAGAAAGTCTATTCCTTTAGACTCACTGGAAGATTTAATTGAGCTACTGCCAAGTCATTTGTTCTTTTTTTGTTGGCATATAGAAATGTTAGAAAAAATGCTGACTGTGAATTACCACAGAAAAAAAATTTTTTAGTAAACATTGACCATTCCAATCTAAACATATATATATGCATCTTTTTAGAGTAGTGTTAAAGCTATACTTTTTATGGTAAAAGCATAAACTGGCATTACTGCTGGAGGAATTGATCTTATCTATCTCCTGGTACATTTGAACTTGATCAGAGGATTGATCTAAGTTTAACCAAACCAAAAAAGTAAAAAGGGGGCAGGCAGCATGGTAGCTGGGGACAACAGGGGTTTGGTGGCTTATCCTAGGGTAAAGGTGACTGGTTTCCTGGCATTTAGCAAGCAGGAAACTGGTTTGAGGAACTGATCCAACAGTGAACTAATAATTTTGTTTTCTGATAGTGGTTTTGTGCTCACTCATTTTGTGACAGTATGTGCAAAACTTAGTGCAGGAAAGAGCAGAGCTTGTGATCACTAGTAAGAAAGATTTCTGTTGTAGTAGTTCTGATTTAAATGGGTTTAAGTTACTGTGGGATTGCATGCTCTGAATTGTGGTTTGAAGCCCTGTTTGCTCACTGACATTTTAGTCATTGTTAAAAAGTGTAAAAAGTTTGCAAATACCAGATGGGCATTCACAGTTGCTTCGTGACTAACTTCTCCATGTTAGAAGACTGTGTGCCTTTTATTTGTTGTAAGACCATGTTTTAATTATGGCCACTGAGAGAAGTAACTTTCTTAGCATGAGAATTTAAGATCATACTAGTGATTTGGATGTGTTAGAGAATATCAGCCCTTCCCAATGGCATCTTGCATTAATGACCATGATGTATGAGATTCTGTGTCAGGGTGGTCTTTCAGTGGTGAATATTCACTGTCCCATATTTTGAATCAGTTCTTCATAAGTGTCTTCTAGCTTTAAATTTAGTTCTAACCCTGCTGGTTTGGTACTGTCCTTTTGTCTTCATTAGAATACTTTTTGTTGCATTTGTTGATTAAACTTAATTTCAGTTTTGACAGAAAGCATAGACATAGCTTTATGAAGTTATAGGAATCCACTTGAAATTCAAGTTCAGGATTAACTTTTTATACCAAATCACTTTGAAAATACCTTCCTGACTAGTAGTCTAAGACTGCATGGAAATTCATGAACAACACAATTTCTTTCTAGCAATTTCTAAAACTGTTAGAGGTTCTTATTGCTGTTTTTAGCAGTAGTTTATTGTGCCCATGCTGGTACAGCATCTTACATATGCCTTGCTTGCTAAAACTTCATCTTATGTTTAATATGCTAAGGTTATTCTTTCAGACTTTTGCACTTGGGAGGCTGAGGAGACTTACTTCCTCTTCTAAAATCTATTTCTACTTTCATGCTAGCTATTCCAGCTAATCTCTTTGTACCTAATGTCTGCCTCACTCAAAAATATTTCTGCTTGACTGTTACTGTGATTCTCAGCTCCCAATCAGACTTGTAGTTGAGTTTGTAACAAAACTGTTTATCTCTCTTCTGTGCATCATTAGTAAATGGTATTTAATGCTGTATTGATAGCTGTAGGAAGTAGTGTCCCAAAGTAAACTTGTCTAGCTGCTTTTACTCTTAAAAAAACCCAAAGAAAACCAACATTTACTAGGCAGAAAGATAATCCAGAAGTGCACTGATTTCTAGAACTACGACCCTGTAATGCCATGAATCGGCTTCCCAGATTGGGGATTTTAGGTGAGCGAAGGAGAGAAGAGCAGTAGAAGAGGTAGGCTGAGCAGGGAGGTTCAGAGGCTGAGTTAGATGGATACAGCAGGGCTCTGTGACACTGTTTATGACAGAGCAAAGAGCACAGCTCCATGTGTGGGCTCAGTGAAGAGGGATAGTGATTGCCCTGTTGCAGTTGTTACCTTTTTCCTAACCTTTGTCTTCTCTCTAGATTGTGAAAAGAGAGCAAAGAGGGGGAAATGGCCTAGTGTCAGACTTTATTCTTCTGTGTTCTTGTTGTTCTGTGTTGCTAGATGGGAATCCTTCCTCTGCAGGTTTCCATGATTGTCATTCTGTATAAAATATGGGTAAACCCTTTCATCAAAATGTGGATACAGCTATCCTGCTAATTTGATGCTTCTAAGAAGTCCTTGGAAATGTAGGTAGTAGATATTTGTATTGGGTATTTGTGGCAAGGTTTTGGTAGCGGGAGGGGGGCTACAGGGGTGGCTTCTCTGAGAAGCTGCCCCATGTCCAACAGAGCCAATGCCAGCTGGCTCCAAGACAGACCTGCTGGTGGCCAAGGCTGAGCCAATCAGCAACAGTAGTAATACTTCTGTGAACATATTTAAGAATGGGAAAAAAAATTGCACAGAAGTAATTGCATCCAGAGAAGAGAGGAGTGAGAATATGTGAGAGAAACAACTCTGCAGACACCGAGGTCAGTGGAGAAGGAGGAAAGGAGATGCTCCAGGTGCCAGAGCTGAGATTCCCATGCAACCCATGGTGCAGCCCATGGTGAGGCAGCTGTTCCCCTGCAGCCCATGGAGGTCCATGAGGGAGCAGAGACCCACCTGCAGCCCGTGGAGGAGCCTCACACTGGGGCAGGGGGATGCCTGAAAGAGGCTGTGACCCTATGGGAAGTCTGCACTGGAGTAGGGTCCTGGCTGGACCTGTGGTCCTGTGGAGAGAGGAGCCCATGCTAGAGCAGGTTTGCTGGCAGGACTTGTGACCCCATGGGGGATGCAGGCTGGAGCAACCTGTTCCTGAAGGACTGACCCCATGGAAGGGACCCACACTGGAACAGTTAGTGAAGAAATGTAGCCTGTGGGAAGGACTCGCATTGGAGAAGTTTGTGAAGGAGTCTCCCATGGGAGAGACCCTATGCAGGAGCAGGGAAAGGACTCCTCTCCCTGAAGAGGAAGCAGTGACAGAAACAACATGTGATGAACTGTCCGTAACCTCCATTCCTCGTCTCACTGCACCGTTGGGGGGGAGGGGGTAGAGAATCAGGAATAAAGTTAAGTCTGGAAAGGAGAAGGGAGTTGGGGGGAAGGTGTTTTTAAGATTTGTTTTACTTCTCATTATCCTACTCTGATTTTGATTAGTAATAAATTCAATTAATTTTTTCAAGTCAGGTTTGTTTAGCCTTTGATGGTAATTGGTGAGTGATCTCTCCCTCGACCATTTGTGGAGGGGAGTGATAGAGCAGCTTTGCTGGGCACCTGGCATCCAAACAAGGTCAAACCACCACAATATTTTAGAGGTCCAGAAATGTCTTTTAAAACATGGACAGCGAACTAGGGCAAGGAGAAGAATGAGTGGTGAGGGGAGGAAAAGGAAAGTCATTAAAATAGGAACTTTCTAAACTGGATTTACCATGTCTTGGAGCTGCTGTTTATTTCGTTTAGATGGTCCCCTGAAAATAAGGGGTAATTTTGATCCAAATTTGAAGCCTATCATGGGTAATTCTGATGTTTGGACAACCAGTGTATCAGTGACTTAGGATTATAACTTTTGTACTCTGGTAAACTTGTAGTTGTTCAGTGACTTTTTATAACCACATAATTTCGTCATTAAAATAAACATTGCTTTCTTCTCAGTCAGCAGCTCTTAACCTCCTCCTGTTCTTGTAATACCAAATAATATGCATAGTCTTCCTCAAAAAACCCTAACAAACAAAGCTTCAGATATTGAGGTTATAAAAAGGAAAAAATTCCACCAGAACTATGTAGAAATATGCCACATGTAAGAAATAGTTTCTAACAGTTTACATAGATGTGCTTTATGCATGGTTAAGTAAACAAAAATTTTCATGCCTTCTTAGCACTATGCAACATGCCATTCACTATATTAAGAATCTTGTTGTGAGGAAAGATTACGTGCAGGCATCCCAGATACCAGGCAGTGATGGATTTAGGAAAATTTATTTCTGAAAGCTGAGAACACTGACATGATGGTGCAAGCACTGGGCATCCAAAGCACACACACTGTTCTCCTCAGGGCCTTTTATCATTTGCCTGGCCCCCTGCTGCGGGGGCCTTCAAGCATGTCTGCGAGAAACTTATCTTCTCTTGTACCAGGGAGTCAGCCTCTCTGAAAAGCAGGAGAAGAAAACACATAAGACTATCCCTGGGAAGATGTCTCTTTCCCAGGCAGCAAAGCTTCCTTGAGCTACATAAACCCTTGTCTCCTCGAGTAAATCTTCCCGAAAGATTCTTCTATACTTACACTTGTAAACTGAGGTCGGTAATCAAAATTGGAGGCAACAAATATTTGTTGTTGTTAAAATAGAAATTAATATTCTTGTGGGTGATAACAAGGAAGTTTGAGTAATTTGAATTGAATAATTTTCATGTCAGTAGTTATGCTTAAAGGGGGAATCAGAAGGAATGTGTGGTCACAGGTTGGTGAAAGCACAGGAGGGTAGGGGTGGACTGAGTCAGAGAAGGAAGCAAATGGAATATTTAAACTTTCTCCTCAGATAAGAAGTGACAGGGAATTTCTTGAGAGATCAAGGTATGCAGGGAGGCTGGGATTCTAAAGCATCTTAGGCAAGAGTAAAAAATTAGACAATTTTGAACAGTGATTTAGCAATAGCAGTCTAGTGGGACGATTCTTTAGGTGAGTCCTTTTCTTGGCATTTGGAGCTACTTCACTAGATACAGAAAAGATAGCAAAGAATTGCAAGTCCTGCTGAAACACAAAGTCTTAGATGAACTGTGGCTTACTTGCATGTGTTAGGGAAATTTGGGAAGTAAATGGTATTTAACTTTAACCATAGTACTTTTATTTCGTCAACCATAATATTTTCTAATGTGACAGACAGGCAATTGGTGTCTCCTCTGCTGTTGCTGTTATATGGTGTTTTTTTTCCTAGGGTTTGGACGTGGCAGAGGGAGAGGAGCGGGGAGGTTTTCAGCCCAAGGCATGGGGTAAGAAACATGCAGAGCACAGATTTTGACAAGGATCAAACTCACCGTCAATATTAATTGACAACGTTGCCACTGTATGTCTTAATATTGCTGTATGATTAACCAATATAGATGTAAAAATTAAAAAATTTCTTAGATTATGAATGGATTATTTTTGTCTTAATACAGTATTTCTAACTAGACACACATATGCAAACCTAATGTAAATTCACTTCATGTTAATATCTCAAACTTGGAGAACCCATTTGTACCTATCAGTAGCAGCCATCAGTAGTGCCTTGGAGGCTGAAAGCTCTATGAGGTGCATATAGTTTTAAGTCACTTTAAAAAAAGATTTGTTTCAGTGCAATGTAGAACTTTCAAGTTCTATATAAAACCAGAAAGACTAGTGATTCTAAACTTTCTCCTGTTTTTGAGGTTTCATGCTTTAGCTGTTTGCACATACATTGACTGTAAAACAAACTTAAAAGAAGTTACTCAGCAACTCTTAAGTTTGTTCCAAGTTTTGTTGGAATAACTTGCTTCATGAAGTGTAACCTCGACTACTTTTACTTAGTGTTTGCCTTTAATGACATTTCATGTAACATCAGTGATGTCATGATGAACAGAAGACTCATTCTACTTTTCTAATAATTCTTCTTGTTCATACTTGTAGATGATAAATTGAAAAGAGGTTTTTCTTCAATAATTCTTTTTCACCTTTTAGCTGCTTCTGTGTGTTTTGGCATTGGTGTTAGGAGTGCATTCTGAAATAGTCTTACTGATGTTCCAACTCCTGTCCTGTACAGGTATGGTGCTCTGAAAGGACATGATACTGGTTTCTCATCAGTAAGCCACCTGCTGAGAAACTGTCAGCTGAGAGAAGCTTATCATTGTGCATATAAACTAATGCTTTATAAGACTGAAGGAGTAGGCATGCTGTTAACTGCTTTTTCAGGAATTGTTGGTTTGATTCAGTTTCTCTACAGTAATTTTTTTTCAGTCTTTTAATTTTTCTCCTTTTATCCCTCTTTTATCTGTGTCTGCTCATAGAGGAAAAATTTCTTTTGAAACCAAAACTATCAAGATTATGTGGAAATCAAGAAGTTTAATCAAATGCAACTTCAGATAAAAATGATGACACTTGTGTTCATTGAATGACCCATGTGTTCTCTTCCATTTTTAAACTTTTAAAACTCTAGGACATTTAACCCTGCAGACTATATGGAGTCTTCTGCCACTGATGGCTTTGGGACAAAATCAGATATTTGGGAGACTGGTCAGAATGATGCAGATGATGGAACTGGTAAGATACTTCAAGAAGTGGAAGGATTGAAATGAAGACCTGTAGCAAATTGCAGTTAAAATAACCATTCTGTTCGTGTTCAGTTAACTTCTGAAAATGTGAATGCATTTCACGTGACACAGATCATTTTTATAGCTTAACTGCTACTAATGTGCAGAGCACGTGCTGTAACCTGTGTGACTCTTATTAAAATGAAGGGAAGGCAATTTTCAACTTTTTTGTTTTAGTACCAACAAACCCTTGAGAGACAAAGGCATTTGAAGAGTTGTTGGATGATCCTCGTATGTGAAGAACTGTGTTAAAGGAGAAACCACTGCCCGAGTATTCTCACACCATTCAAGGAGTCACACACATACCACCTGAGAATTTTAACTGCTTAGACCAGAGTCCCTTCATAGTGGGTGGCTCCAGTGAGGTGATGAGTTCTCCTTTTGACTCTGTGCTCACACACACACTTGCTCTCAGGCATGCTTCCTCCTCCTTCAGGCTTGACTCTAGGTTTCCCACAGAAGAGTCTCAGGTGTCTGATTTTATAAAAATAAATAATTTAAGAGTGGTACAGCAGCAGGTCAACTTGACCTGGGTGCTTCTGGAGAGGGACCCCAAACAAAGAAATCCCTGGGCTTTTATGCCCTCACAATCTATGCAGCCATTCTTCACCCGTTCTTCACGCACCTTGCATGCACCTCTTGATCCAATGGTGATTTTTGGTCTGGGGTCTTCTAACCCCTTACTGGATTCTTTCTCTGTGTCCATGTAGACAGACCATTAACTGTTCTTATCTTGTCAAGTTGCAGCTTCTGCTGACGACTGTAGCCTCCTTATCTTCTGGTTTGTACTTCTTGTGCACTAGCTCAGTCGACAGAACATGGGAAAGTGAAAAGTTTTTGATTTAGAATAAGCACTATGTAGCAACAACTAAAACATCACTGTGTTATCAACATTATTCTCGTACTAAATCAAAAACACAGCACTGTAACAGCTACTAAGAAGAAAATTAACTATTCCATTTGAAAGCATATCTAGGTGAAAGTGAATTTTTTTGCATGTCACATTAACATATATTCTATTTACTTGAAATCCAGTGTCCAATCATACACAACAACTAGAATTAAATGTTAAACAACAGTAGCATTGGGACAATGAACTTTCATCGTGCTGATTAACTCTATCAAAGTTAGATTTTGAGCTGTATCCAATTTGCAAAAAAAAAGAACTTTCATTGGGTTTTCCAAGGGTTTGGTCACCCATTAGATAAAAATCTATGTCAAGTAGCTCCCCTTTAGTCTTGCTAACTTTATACCACAATGGGTCATCCATTGATTTTATACTTAGCCATGCAGTTGTGGTCCTCTGGGTCAACAGCACCAAGAGTAATGGGATGTCTCACTTCATCTCTTTGGTGTATAGATTCTTTCCAATGCAGTTATTTGTTAGCTGGTTGGTTATTCATAACTTGTTTGACATGAGAATGGTATATCCAGTTTTCCTTTCCTAAAACTTTAACAGCAAAATTAGAACACAATAAGACAGTATATGGCCTCTCCCATTTGGGTTCTAATCTGGATTTTTGTGAAAATACCTGAATTAACATTTCCATCTCCAGGTTGTATATAAGGTACCTGTATTTCAGGTGGTGTGGACTGACATGATTTCTTTTTGCCTTCAAACCCCTTTTCCATATATGTTAGACACTCTGCCTAGTACTTCAGAATTTTTGACAAAATGAAAATGTCACTGACCAGCTGGAGTGCATGGAGCTCCACCTAGGAATGGACGAAGAGATGACCAAGAGTTTATGGGTCAGGATTAAAGGGAGAGGAGGGACAGGTGCTGTTATAGTGGGGGTCTGCTACAGACTGCCTGACCAGGAAGATCGAGCAGATGAGGCCCTCTACAGGTAAATAGGAGCAGCCTCACATTCACAAACCATGGTCCTCATGGAGGGAGGATGACTTCAACCACCCCAGTATCTGCTGGAGGGGGGCACCACAGAAGGGCATAAGCAATCCAGGAATTTACTGGAATGCATTGATGACAACTTCCTTCTCCAAGTGATAGAGGAGCCAATGAGGAGAGGTGATATGCTGGACCTTGTTCTCACCAACAAGGAGGGACTGGTGGGGAATGTGAAGCTCAAGGGCAACCCAGGCTGCAGTGACCATGAAATGGTGGAGTTCGAGATCCTTAGGGCAGTGAGGAGGACGCACAGCAAGCTCGCTATCCTGGACTTCAGGAGAGCAGACTTTGGCCTCTTCAGGGATCTTTTTGGTAGTGTCATAGGATAAAGCCCTGGAAGGAAGAGGGACCTAAGAGAGCTGTTTGATGTTCAAGGATTGTCTCCTCCAAGCTCAGGAGCAATGCATCCCTACAGAGGGGAAGTCAGGCAAAAATGCCAGGAGACCTGTGTGGATGAACAAGGAGCTCCTGGACAAACTTAAACACAAAAGAGAAGGCTACAGAGGATGGAAGCAGAGACAGGTAGCCTGGGAGGAATACAGAGAGGTTGTCCAAGCAACCAGGGATCAGGTTAGGAAAGCTAAAGCTCTGATACAACTAAACCTGACCAGGGATGTCAAGGGCAACAAGAAAAGGTTCTGTGGGTAAGTTTGTGATGAAAGGAATACTAGGGAAAATATGGACCCTCTCTAGAAGGAAAGGGGAAACCTGGTTATTCGGGACATGGAGAAGACTGAGGTACTCAATGACTTTTTTGCTTCAGTTTTCACCAGCAAGTGTTCCAACCACACTATCCTAGTTGCAGAAGGCAAAGGCAGGGACTGGGAAAATGAGGAACTGCCTGCTTGAGAAGATCAGGTTGGAGACCATTTAAGGAACGTGGAGGTGCACAAGATCAAGTGCACTGGAAAAGGGGAAATATAACTCCCATTTTTAAAAAGGGAAATAAGGAAGACCCAGGAACCTACAGGCTGGACAGTCTCACCTCTGTTCCTGGCAAGACCATGGAGCAGATCCTCCGCTAAACTATGCTAAGGCACAAGGAAAACAAGGAGGTGATGGGTGACAGCCAACATGGCAAATCATGCCTGACAAATTTGGTTGACGGGGTTTACAGATGTGGTGGATGAGGAAAGTGACTGACGTCACCCACTTGGACTCGTGCAAAGCATTTGACAGTCCCGCATGACATCCTTGTCTCTAAACTGGAGAGACAGACAAGGATTTGATGGGTGCACCACTCAGTGGATAAGGAATTGGCTGGATGGTCACACTCAAGGAGTTGCAGTCAAGGGCTCAATGTCCAAGTGGAGACCAGTGATGGGTGGCATTCCTCAGCGGTCAATATTGGGACTGGTGCTGTTTAACATCTTTGCTGGTGACATGGACAGTGGGATTGAGTGCACCCTCAGCAGATTTCCTGATGAGACCAAGCTATGTGGTGCAACTGACACACTGGGGGGAAGGTATGCCATCCAGAGGGACCTTGACAGGTGGGCCTGTGCAAACCTCATAAAGTTCAACAAGACCAAGTGCAAGGTCCTGCACCTGGGTCAGGGCAATCCCAAGCACAAGTATAGGCTGAGTGGAGAATGAATTGAGACAAGCCCTGGGGACAAAGACCTGGGAGTGATGGTTGATGAAAAAATGAATATAAGCCAGCAATGTGCAATTGCAGCCCAGAAAACCAAGTGTATCCTGGGCTGCATCAAAAGCAGCGTGGCCAGCAGGTTGAGGGAGGTGATACTGTCCCTCTACTCTGCTCTTGTGAGACCCCACCTGGAGTACTGCATTTAGTTCTGTCATGGTTTGAGATCCCCAAAATCTAATTCCCTAGTCCAAACCCCCTCCTGTATCTCAACCTGGTGTGATATGAGTTTTCCAGACGACCACAAGACTCAAATTGGGGAAAAAATATATTACAATGACTGTACAAATAAATACTACAATACATTATATACAATCTTAATTATCTCTACCATGACATAAGTATTTACAATGGATCAAATCTCTTCTCCCCTCCAAATAAAAGTCCAGAAGGGAAGAAGGAAAGATCCTTTCCAACTCTCAGGGCAGCAGCTTCTTCAGAGTAGCAGTCTATCTCTCTCTCATGCATGCAGCTGTAGCTGGATCTCTGCCAGCACACACGAGGGAATATCTAAGCCCCTCAGCCACTCGTCCTCCAAGCGAGGGTCTTCTTCCGTGGGTTGTGTTTCCCAGGACAAGGGGCACTATCACCACGTCATATCACAAAGCTCAGGGGTCTTCATGACGGTCCTTATCTTCAGGGGATTCAAGTTCCCTACAGAGCTCTGTGCTCTGCCTCAAGCAGCAGGGGGACCAAGGTCACCCCCCTCCGCATTCTTTCTCTGAGCTTTTTAGCTCCTCTCTGCAGTGCTGCTGCAGTTTTAGGGCTTCCATTCAGTAGGAGTCCATCCTTTCCACTTAGGAAAGGTCACAAAAGGAGTTTGGGGTTTTAGTTTCAGTTCTTACCCCAACTTCCTCTCTCTCTCTGCTGGCTCTCTCTCGGCTCTCTCAGACACTTCTGTGTCTTCCTTGCTCAGCTGCATGCTGTTTTGCTGCTTCTCCAGTTCAGTTCTTATCTGTTGACTTTTAACCATAGCCTCTGTTCACTGCTACCTCTGCCGCTGCTCCGTTTGCCCACTCACGGTGGAGAAAACTTCTTTAGCTTTCAGCCACAGGCACTTAGCCCAGCATTACGCTGTTCCAAGTCCCTGCAGCCCCCCGCTGCTTTAAACTGAATGGCTTTAAACTGAAGGAGAGTAGATTTAGGTTAGCTATTAGGAAGAAACTCTTCCCTGTGAGGGTGGTAAGGCACTGGCACAGGTTGCCCAGAGAATCTGTGGATGCCCTGTCCCTGGAAGTGTTCAAGGCCAGGCTGGATGGGGCTTTGAGCAACCTGGTCTAGTGGAAGGTGTCCCTGTCCACAGCATGGGGGTTGGAACGAGATGATCTTTAAGGTCCCTTCCAAACCAAGCCATTCTATGATTTTACAACAAGTCGGGCAACTACTGGTGATT